TTAGTAAATTTTAGTTTAATTTAAAAGACATCACAACGGATTTAAAATACTCATAATAAAAAAAGCAAAACATAAAATGCTTCAAGGAGCCAAACTATAAACATAAAAGATGAAGAATCGAATCGAGATAAATAAATTGTATTTATATAGCTAAATATATTGCCTTGGGTTTTGGTAAATTTTAAAAGCAGTGAGTTCAATAAATGAAACATACCAAATAATTGTTTTTAACAAAAGAATGCAGCATCATTATATTATGATAATTGGATAATGAATCAATTCAACTTTCGACTTTAGATTTTAGGGAGGGGTTTTTAAGAGGGCTTTAAATTTGAAGTCAGGTTTAATTGTTGAGAAAACAATTAAAATTTTCATTAAAAAAGATCAAAACAAATCAAATATACAACATAATATATATTTAAAAAAAAATTACAAAATTAAAATTAATTACAAAATTAAAAAAAAAAAAACACAGAAGAAAAAGCAGCAACCAAAAAGTCATAAATATCTCTACTGATAGAAGACATTTACAACCTTTTGGTTGCTGTTTTTTCTTCGGTGTCTCCCAACACCCCGGTATGGATGAGCCCTCCATTAAAAGGAGAGCTCATCCATTCCACCATTATCTTTCCATTTGTTGAAGAACCTCTCTGAGAGAGGTCCCGGGTGTTGGGAGCGGTAAGTTTTATAACCTTTGAATGATAAGGAATCTAAAGTTACAAATAGAAGAATATAATAAATTTCATCTCGCCTAAGTCTATTTCTTTTATTTCGTCTACGACTATTTTCAACACGCCTTATAGCACTTACATCATTTTGTAAATACATAACTTCATCTAGCCTATCATTCATTTCAATGTCATCATTTTGATTAAACATATTTATCAAAGCAACACTAATTATTTCTTTTTTTTACTACTCTAAAGTTAACAATAAAATAAAAAAACTTAATAAATAACTAAAAAAATCTTACTCAAAAAATTAAAAAAAAGTTCTCAAAACAAATATATAAAGAATCCAAACTAATGCAAAATAAAATTAATTTGCCATTATCAAACGTAATACAGGTTTCTTAAGTTTATTTGATAAAAGTTAAGAAAAACCTGCAACCATATTAGCAAAAATTTAATACAAAAACTTAAAATTTATTCTGTTTTTAATAAAGAAAAAATATTTAGAAACAAACAACATATCTTCGCAGACAGCGTCATAAGGCATGCGATGGGAGAAAACATTGAACAAAACGGGTAATAAAACTTATTAACGCGTTATGTACAATAGAAAACAGGTTATTAACGCAGGTTTATAAACTTTTTCCCCCCAACACACTATTACGTTGCCGCAACTCCAAGGATATACATAATTATATATATGTATATATATATATATATATATATATATATATATATATATATATATATATATATATATATATATATATATATATATATATATATATATATATATATATATATATATATATATATATATATATATATATATATATATATATATATATATATATATATATATAGAACTATTTATTAATGAAAACCAAAATTTTTTATATAATATATATATAGTAAATTTGATAAATAAACCTCTACAATTTTTTTGATTCAACAACTTGATTATGATTAATAACAACTCTGTAAATATAAATTTTCTAATGATCTAAATCTTTATAAATTAGATATTTTATTTTATATCTTAATTTTAAATTAAATAAATTATATATCTTAACTATAAATTAAATCTTTATAAATTAGATATAAATAGAAAAACAAACATATAATAACACAATTATATCCTAAACCAAAATTCAATCATGCAAGGCAAATTATTAAACTTTTTGAAAAGAAAAAAAACAAAAATTTTTTTCAAAGAGCCAAAGTATTAACAATACTATAGATAAATTTTATTTATAACAAAATGTTGTCATGGCTTTTATCCCAATTATTAAAAGCATTTAAAAGCATGAAACTACCCATAAATATCTTTTAATGGTAGACACCATCTAAGAATTATAGTAATCTATATTTTCAAAATTCACATGTATAATACGAAGCTTTAAATTTAAAAGTACAGTTTAAAAAAGATTACAATAAACTAATTACTTATAAAATTTAAAAAAGATTTTATAAATACTCAATGTCTACTTAGACATTTTGAAAAGATTACGATTTTGAAAACTTGAAACTTTAAATTTAAATTTTAACAAAAACTGAAACTTTAATTCTACCTCAAAGAAAACAGATATATATTGAAAAGTATTTTTATTTCTTTTTAAAAATTTAAAAATGCTTTATATGATAAATAAACCTCCACAGTTTCCTTGGTTTAACAACTCGATTATGATTAATAACAACTCTGTAAACATGAATTTTCTATTAACCTAAGTAAATTACAGATAGACAATTATAAATGACACAATTAAATCCTAAACCAAAATTCATTCATGCAAGACAAATTATTTTATATTTATTGAAGAGCCAGAAACACATTTTTTTTCAAAGAGCAAAAGTATTAACAATATTAAATATAAATTTTATTTATATCAAAATTTTCAATAAAAATTAAATTAAGATAAATTTATAGCAAAATGTTGTCATGGCTTTTATCCCAATAACCAAAACTATGTGAAAGCATGAAACTACCCATAAATATATTTTAAGGCTAGACACAATCTAAAAATTACAGTAATCTATAACACGAAGCTTTAAATTTAAAATTACAATTTAAAAAAGATTACAATAAATTAATTACTTTTAAATTTAAAAAAGATTTTAGATTACCTATAATTTTAAGCTACTAAACATTATCTACTTAATGTCAACTTGGACATTTTGAACTCGTACCATGAAAGGTTGAAAGGAAATCTTTAAGAAAGCACGGAGCTGCTCAGAGATAAAGTCTCCTGAATATCTGTATTACAAGATGGATATAGTATATTGATGGCTATCATTATTTTTATAATGATATATTGTGTGAAGTTGTTACCGATAAATTGCATCTGAATGTATATACCAGTAAAGATGCAGATTGGTCAAGCTGGACACCGGAAGATCAACAAAATGCTCTGTCTAATAAAAAATCTCTGCGAAACTTTGAATTCATTTATACACTGCTAACAATTATACAATTAACATCATATCTGAGGGCCACAGCTATTTCTTTACAAGGCCGAACACAAGATCTCGTTGACGCATACAAAGAAGTACAGGAACAACTATCTAATTTCAACTTCAAACATGCTGTAAGAACAGCAGATCATTTGGGCGTTGATGTGGTAACCTCTAGGGCATTTTAACGGCATACTTATCGTCAGATTACTCCAGCTGATACTCCAAATAACCTTTGCAAGCGTATCATTCTGATTCCTTATTTAAATTACATTATATCAGACCTCCAATTAATGTTTATTTAACAATTGCTTGAGAAAAAAAATATTCGCTGGAAGAACCTTTTGTGATAAAATGGAAGGCCCAAAAACAAAATATATAAAGGCTTCATTGTTGAAATGCAATAAGCAAGTTCTTCCAAATGTACATACATTCTTATGCATTGGCTATAGACTTCCAGTAACATTTTGTAAATGCGAGAGATGTTCATCTTCGCTTTGCAGAATGTCAAATTATATCAGAGCATTAATGAAGGATGAGCGGTTAGGAGCACTTACACTAATGCATGTGCATTGTGATAAGATAGAAGCATTAGACAAAACAGAAATTGCAAAGTTATTCATTAAACTACGCCCAAGTAAAATGGACCTACAATCCTTATTCATATAAGACCGATTTTTAGTGCAATATTTTAATTTATCTTAATTTGGTTTTTTAACTATTATTTTGTCTTATTTTAAATTTATATCAAATCTTGTATGCAATTTATATATATATTAGGTACGTGCGTATCTGGCTATTTACGGCACCGATTTATAAGTAAAAAACTGTGACCGTTTTTTCACAGCGTGCTCGAAGTCGGTGTGGTAAGGATGTATTTATTAGTCTTTTTTTTTAGAATTTTATATCAGCTTAGACTTTTTTTGAAAAGTAGAATGTTTTATGTTGTACAAATTATGTTTTTTTCCCAAAAGTATTAAGTTTTTCAGTGATTTTATTGCTCTTTAAAATTTTGTTCGTGTTCTGGAAGTGCATTGATATTGAAGGCATGTTGCTACACATTTAAAATTTTCCAGTCAGCTGTGTAAATCTATTTTCTATGTTCCTGCCAAATTTCATTAAAAAATATTCATGCGCAGACACCCTATTTTGCCACCTAGTGGAGGTACATTTTCCACCTTATTTACAACTACTGTTACTGTTACACTTTATTAAACTGTTTCTGTTAATGTTACTGTTACTTCTTGATATAAATTCCGTTATTTTTTTTACATTTACTAGTGATTTTTATTAGATTTTCAAATTTCGTTTCTGTTCTGGAGGTACATTAATATTGAAGGCATGTTGCTACACTTTTAAAATTTTCCAGTAAGCAGTATAAATCTATTTTCTATGTGCCTGCCAAATTTCATTAAAAAATATTCATGCGCAAACACCCTATTTTTCTGTACAGTGGAGGTATGTATTTCCACGGGGAAGGGGGGGGGGCGTAATTTGATGGTGAGCATTTGGTATATTAGATTGTTTATTCATAATAATGAGATATATAGATAGCTTTCATTAAAAAGGTAGACAATTTTTTTTTCAATAGCCTTTTATTAGTAATAAATGGCTATTGAAAAAAAAAAAATTGTTAGTAATAATATTACTAACACTATTGATGATTTCACACACCAAAATTAGTTTCAAGGCTAAATTCTGTTAAATCTAATTTCAAATGCTGAAATAAAAATTATGACACTTTTTTATGGTGATTCAGAATAAAATGCGAAATAATGATAACAAACAAAAACAGCATTTTCTCAATTTTTTTCTGTACCCATAATTTACTATATAACCACCAAACAGCATTATTTATGATATATAAAAATTATATATATCTATAATTTTTTATTGACTAAAGGCAATTTATTAGTTAGTTAATTGTGATTGATTGCTGACCCAATTAAATAGTAATTAAATATTAATAATGATTAAATTACAATTAAAGTAGTGTTATGATCGTTGAATTTAATTTAGTGCATCATGGGACCTAAGAAGAAAACAAATCTATTTTATGGTAAAGCTAAATCTTATTTAGTTTGTAATTTTCCAATACCAGCTCATTTAAATATGGGCTGTAGAAATGGACATGTACTGCATATATTGGCAACTAACAATGATTCATACCAAGTAACTGTAGAACTAATCAGTAAGTATTTTAACATCAACATTTTTCCCAATCAGATTCTGCAACTAGTTAAAAAATCAAAAGTCTTTGTAAAAGGTTTTTCACGAAATTCAAAACAATTTATTGACATCTGCAACATGCTCTTTGAATACCAACCAACAACATCTGCTGTGACTCAAACATCACAGTTAATCACAACCTCTAATCACATAGCTACGTGTTCTTCATTTTTTTCTCAGCAAATCGCTGTTTCGTCTCTATCAAATAGTGACTCTTCTCAAGAATCATTATCCAGGTTGAGAGCTGACCAGGTTAGTCCCAGGAAAAAGATTATGAGAAAGAGATTAACCATTTTGGAAAACAAAATTGCAATTAAAAAGAGAAAACATAAAGAAGATCTTAAAGGTTTAAGAGAAAAGGCAAAGGCTAGACCATACAGATTAAAATATCTAAATCAAGTTATTGCTTGTAAGGAAAAGATAATTCATCAACTTAGAAAAAAATTAAAAGAACATTTTTTAAATATACAGTTAAAAAAACTTCAAAATCAAAATTTTTATTTGAAACTTTCTTCGAAACTTCGTGCTTGCAAAAATAAAACAACTGCTCTGCTTTGTAAAAAGCCAACTGATATTCAAAACAAGTTGATATTATGGGCTATCTCTAATGCCAGGAAAAATCGATTTACAAGTATGCAATGTCATAATGAACTGAAGTTAGAACTGCTAAAACGAATGGCGGATAAAGTTCAGAAAAGGGAGGACAAAGACCGCAGAAAGGTAGAAAAAATGGTTAAAAGTTGCATGCCCAATCAGGTAAAAGAAATGTTTCCTGACCTAGAAAATAACGAGGCCTCAGATATTGAAGAAATTTTTATTGGAGCTGCTATTGGAAGAAGTATTTGCCACATGTGGTTCGATAATGCCAATAACACCTATGAGGTATATTACGGCAGAATTGTTAGCATTAAAAAGAAGAACAATGATATATATATATATATAGTTTCTTATTGGAAACCAAAAGAAAATGAAGATGATGACGGTGTTGAGTATGATATGAGCAAATATCAACTTTCTGCAGACATAATAAGCGGTGATATGGTGATAACATAACAGAATTGTGTAATAATAAGGTATATGTTATTTTAAGTATTAGTGTGTCTTATAAACTTGCATTAACAGATATTATTTACAGATAGTAAGTGAATTTCTTTTTTTTTTTTAAGAATAAATTTTGCTATGCCTAATATATATCTAATTCCTTCTTTTTTTTGTAGTATTATGAAAAGATTTATAACTTTTTAATTTGTTTTTATATATACATATATTTATATAGAAGTTTAATTTTAGGTAGTCGGGTAGTTACCGACATCCAACAACCAGGGTTGACCTGGTGCAAAGTGCTATGGGAAACCAAAGCTCATTTACTTTTTGACATAAGCAAATGCTTGGCTTATGACAATTAATGTTTATCAATGATGTTTATCATTATCAATGATGGCAATGCATTTTTTTATCAAGTATAACAGAGTTTCGCTTGCGTGCATTGAGAGATGTTAGTGTTCCATTACAATAAATCCCTTTAAAATTAAAATTTTTATTTATCATTTATTTGCTTGCCATTACCAGAGAGTAATGACCAGATAATTTTTTCTTCATTATAACTTTTAATCAAATCTTTTATATTTCAGGTTAAACAGTATTGAAGGGTCGGCTATCGATTTTTTTGTTTGGTAATGGGAAGTTTGTTGTGTATCAGGAGTTAAGTGATTTTGAATTTTTTAACTTAATAAATCATTCTCATATTTAGTAATCTCTAATGGGTTTTTCAGTTATGGTGCTAAATATCTAATGCATTTTTATTTATTTTTTATTGCAAGGTTTTAACAATAATGGCAATTTGCTACTGTGGATATTCATGTTAAAGACCTCAAGATTATATTTATTAATTCAGTAATTACAGTTAAATGTTAATTCATTATACATTAGTTAATTGTTAGCCTTAATTTTTATATTTTTTTTAATTTTATATCTGATATATTTTTTCTTATTGCAAGGTTAAACAACATGATGAAAACTACATGGTTGCTTCAGTGGATGTTGATCTTTTTCATATCAAGATTAAACCGGTTAGATCATATTTATTTAGAGGTTTATTGTGTTTATTAATGCAGTAATAACAGTTATATATTATTTATTATCCGGGACATAAGGCATCCTTGTTAAATAGGTATTGCGATATTAGTTTTGAGAAATTTTTACTTTATTTTAGATATTATTGGATGTGGTTTCCTTTGCGTACTAAAGAATCGACTCTTTCTATCTATGGATGTCACAGTTTTGTTTGCTTCAAAATCTAGGCTTTTTTCAAAGCCACAATTCTGTTAAAAACATTACTGAGCAAAAAAGAAATTTTTTTGTTAAAGAAGTGTGTTTTAAAATAGTTTTAGTTTTTGTGGTTTGTTGGAATTTATATATAATTAGATATATGGGGCTATGGAAGGGAAAAGGAAGGGGAGCAGTGGTGGACATCCCCCCACCCACCCCACCCATTTGTTTAGTTGGATATTTTTTTAGTAGGTTTTTAGTTAAACTATATGGTGTAACTGACACGGCTTTTAAAGTGGGGAGGGGGGCCAACTCCCTAATTTCAAAAAAAACAACCTACATTTCTAAAAAAAAGGTCCTCGAAGCAATTAGTGGGGGAGGAGGCATAGCCCCCTATGGTGTCGACGGCCATGAAAGAGGGAGGTGAGACCTCTTCCGTGAATGAATTTTTTGTTTATTTAGTTGGCAAAATATATTTTTATATCTATATATATCTTTCATTGAAAAAGATAAAAATAAGCATAAATAGAGAGCAAAAACGCTAAGGCTTTAAATGTCTTTAAAGTTCATCTATACGCTATAGAAAACCTAGCCTTGGTACATATTTAATAACATAAATATATATAACCTTAACCATTATTATGTATAAATGTGTGTATATATATATATATATATATATATATATATATATATATATATATATATATATATATATATATATATATATATACATATATATATATATATATATATATATATATATATATATATATATATATATATATATATATATATATATATATATATATATATATATATATATATATATATATATATATATATATATATATATATATATATATATATATATATATATATTGTAAATTTTTGTTATATTAAAACTTTTTTTAAAATGTTATTAACTCGTTTTGCACATTTCACTAAGCAAAATCATGCGCAAATTAACAATAACGTTCTACAAAGCTACCGTTAGCCGAACGCGAGTTTTTTACGATGGTTGCATTTTTCCTAAGCAATCCTTCATAAAAATAATGTTACTTAAATAAGCATAACTTTTTTTGTAATTGTTCGTTTTTCATAAAATTTTCACCATTTTAATATATATTCAAAGCTCTTTCGAACCATATATAATACTTAAATGAATAAATGGTTTAAAAATTTTACACACGTACCTATATATATATATATATATATATATATATATATATATATATATATATATATATATATATATATATATATATATATATATATATATATATATATATATATATATATATATATATATATATATATATATATATATATATATATATATATATATATATATATATATATATATATATATATATATATATATATCTATATATATATATATATATATATATATATATATATATATATATATATATATATATATATATATATATATACATATATATATATATATATATATATATATATATATATATATATATATATATATATATATATATATATATATATATATATATATATATATATATATATATATATATATATATATATATATATAAATATATATATATATATATATATATATATATATATATATATATATATATATATATATATATATATATATATATATATATATGTATATATATATATATATATATAACAAACTTTACCTAAATCTGCCATACATGTGCAACGTGCATTTATGACTTTTAGTATTGTGTATTTGTTTACATTTTTTCGTCACCCACCATGGCAGATATAAAGTTTTGCGGACGTTTGGCGTTCATAAGAATATCATTAATACAACATTTCTGTATATCTAGCGTTAGTATACAAAAACGGATATTGTGTACAAAGCCGTCTGGGACTACAGTAATTATATAAGATACAGATATTTAATAGTACATACATACATACATATATATATATATATATATATATATATATATATATATATATATATATATATATATATATATATATATATATATATATATATATATATATATATATATATATATATATATATATATATATATATATATATATATATATATATATATGTATGTATATGAACGCCAAACGTCCGCAAAACTTTATATCTGCCATGGTGGGTGACGAAAAAATGTAAACAAATACAAGATACTAAAAGTCATAAATGCACGTTGCACATGTATGGCAGATTTAGGTGAAGTCTGTTTTCATATTGGAGCAACAATATTTTATTTAATGTTAACATCTGATTATCGAAAAAGAAATAATGATGATGCTTGTACATCTCAATTGTGAGCTCGGCTGCCGGCAAACATTAAAGGAAGTTTCTTGTTTGGCACTTTCATAAATAAGTTTTACTGATTTTGAAAAATAAATTTGAAGCAAAAGTAAACAATCAAACACAATCAAAATCCTTTATTAAAAAGCCTTATTTGTTCCGATTCTTTGTAAGATAGAAAATGCTAACTTTTACAGTAAAGTATCATATAACAATAGGTAATGTAGTTCTTCGCATTATACCTGAGTACATTTATAATATATACCTTTAGTTGCAAAACCTTTTAAAATTGAATGTTTGAGCAACCGTGGCACAGTGAATACGCCACGGTTGAAACAAAGGATTCGTTGTTCAAATCCTACCTCCGGGCAAGTTTTGCAATACCGGTTAAAAAGGAGGCGTGAACTTCCAAGTATATGCTCATCCGCTATAAAATTAAGAATAAAAAACTACTAACAATAATTTTTACCTTTTACAAAAGAGTATATGAACAATTAAAGAATCATGAACTCGTGCAACTTTCAAATAAAACTTTTTCATATAGAATTAACTAAAGATGAAATTAAACTGATATTAGATCATGCAAAAACTCAATTTCAATCAAGTTTATGTTTTAGAGCACGTGCAGGGATAAAACAGCAAGTAAATTTAAAGCTTGTTGTCATTCAAAAATAGCCATGCCTTCCAAAAATATAATAATGCATATTTGTTATCCATCAGGAAACAAATTTGTAACCAATGCAACAAAGTAATATTAAGATAATGAAATTTTAGCTAAAATTATTTAAAATCATGTTTATTAGCAACTCACGCAGATGGCCATACCTTGGAGCAACCCCTGATGGTTTATGTAATGTACATGTTGTCCTCATGAAAACATAGTTAAGTTAAAATTCTATTTAAATGTGCAAAAAGAAATGTCTTTAAACTGGCAAATAACGATAAAGAGTTTTGCGTGGAAATAAATGACGGAAAACATTATTTATAAAGAACTAACCTTATCAGGTTCAGCTTCAAATGTTAATTTCAAGTATTTCGATTTGTAATTTTATTGTGTATTATTGTGAAGAAAGCCTAATTTGAGATATTAACTGCCATAGGGCTAATCATAGCCAATCAGCTGTTGTGATACTGAGTCGTGAAAGTTCAACGCTTTTGACAGCTGATACTGTTATTGGCTTTGTGCTGAAAACACTTTTGAATTTAAATAGCAAGATTGGGAAGGAGTCATTTGCAAACCTTAAAAAACAAATAGTGAAAAATTTGATGAACTTATTAAGATCACTGAGAGATCCTATAAATATTCCATCAAGAGACACTTTGTTGTTTGATAGAAAATTGGCAAAAAGAGTTTTAGGTTTTCGAGAAGATGAAGAAACTTCTGGTTCTGAAGGTCATTAGTCCTTTAGAACCACCAGAATTCTGAAGGTCTAATGACCTTCAAAATTCTGATGATATTAAAAACTACCTTCAATATATCTTCAAGAAGAGTTGAATTTATTTTTAAGAAAAAAAAAAGTTACTCCCATTTCATATATCTTCAAGATTACTCCCATTTCATATATCTTCAAGTTACTCCCATTTCATATATCTTCAAGAAGAGTTGAATTTATTTTTGAGAAAGAAAAAAGTTACTCCCATTTCAACAGTCAACGATGAGTTCATACGGCTAAAACATGAATTTTTGCTATTTCGCAACACAGGGAAAAGAACATAAAATTTGAAAAAATAGTTTAAGGCTCTCCTTTCAACTAAACCAACGTCCAAAGACGTTAAACGAGTTTTTTCAATAAACTTTTGCTCAAAGATTTGATCACGCCTTTCGTACGAATCTCTGAGTTCACTCGTGTTCCTTAAAATTTACTATAATAAAAAAAATGTCAAAAATCGGACTATTTTGTTGTAAATTCCGTTTAAAAACAGAAAATAGCTGTTAACAGCTGTTTTTTTTAAATGTTAAACTGAAAACAGCCGTTTTCTGGAAGTTTTTTCTGGACCTGTTTTTGAGCAACTCTAGTTATAATTTTTTTAATGCAAGATTTTGCTGTGTGAATTTTTTTATATAACTTTTAAATAACTTTTAAATATAAATAAATTTTACAAATACTTGGAGTCAAAAACTCATTGTAAAAACTATACAATCTTAAATAATACTTTTACAAAGATGTCTGGCTATGAAAATAGCTGTTTAGCAAAAACAGCTATGACATTTGAAGTTATACTTTTATTATATTTCTTTTAATTTAAAACACAACTCATAAGTATTTATAACAAACTTGTTAAAACTTGTTTACTATCTATAGATGTGTGAAAAGCTAAGCTAAACTTTGTCTACCATTTTGCTTCGCAACTTCTACTTACTATTCTCTTATAACCTTTTACTCTGCGGAGAGATGAAGGTGGGGGGGGGGGGGAGGAGGTGCCTTAGTGAAGAAAAGATTTGTTGCTTGTAATACTTGAGTATTACTAGATTGGAGTTCATTATTGAAATTTAGGCAGTTAAGTAAAATTCAACTAAACTTTCCACAGGTCAAAATCACGTAATAAAGTCTTTGGTTTGGCAATAATAAATAAACCTAAAAAGCCTTAAAATGCTTAAATAAAAGGCGCTAAAACATATGATTTGGTCTTTCCAACTAGTATTACAAAACACTGAATTTCTGCAATTGTTTTCAGAAAAAACTGAAAATTAGAACAAAGAAATCAAACCTGTGGTTTGATTTCTTTGTTCTATGTATGCGATGCTTTATAACACTTTAATATTGTATCAATCAAACCATGGAAGTATAAAACAGATGGAAGTT